CATATGACGTTTCAGTAAATCATTTTCCTTCCTTTATTCGATAAAAGTGAAAAAACTGAATTTGTATGGATTTTTCATAATGTTTATGGAAGTCGAACAAATATTACTTGTTTTTGGTGTAAATAGGAAAGTATGTGAAACACGAACTTCAAAAAGAAGTTCAAGTTTCAATGTGCTAAAAGTCTAAGCTAGAATTTGTGGCTAGTATGTAAAGTTGTTTGAATGAGCCCTGAAGTTTGATTATTCTAAATCAAAATGTTTTTATGCATTTAAGATATCAAAAAAGCACCAAATTGATGTTTTATTTTACATCATTACTTCCATAACACAAACTTTTTTGTGCTTTACTGAAAATCTAAATTGTACATTTCGTAGTAACTTTGCCTGTATCTTAGCAAAATTCTTTGAGTTTTTTGTCATTTTGTCGTTTTGTTCCGGAATTTTCACTCCATTCGAGCATAATATTTGAACTGACAATGTAACTGAATGGAAATTTTACCGCAAAGAAAGGCTGGTAAAAAATACCCTGTCTGTCACTAATTAATTGGTATGCAGTCTTGTTTCTGTCATTCTCGACAATCAACAAATCTAAATGCTGGAAGATAAACTTACTACACGTTTTTATGTATTTTACGTTTTATTTCATAGCATTTCAAAAAAGAGAAAGGAAGAGAGGAAAAAAAAGGAACGAAAGCGAAAGAAAGAAAACAAAAGAAAGAACTAAAGAAGTGTTTTCATTCTTCTTTTCAAATTTAAAATATCTCAGTGGAAATATTCTCTCTTTCATCAAACATATAAATAAGTGAAAAAGAAAAAAAAATTGAAGGAATCAATAATCACAAGGAGAACAATCATCAAAATCAGAATATAACTTGTCAGGAAAGTCTTTGAAAGAATTTTAGAGAAGAGGAAAGGAATTATTCGGCAATGAAGGGAATCAAATTCTAGCAAACCATTTGTATCCGTCAGAAACATGTCAATTGCAATTTTAATTTTAAACGAAAATTTTTTTTAAAATGGATTTAAATTCCATTTTTAGCCGTTATCTATTTTTGTCTACATTTTACCTGCAAATATACCACATTACCGACTACTGCCCGGATATTATGATAATAAAGCACAATTCAAAAATGGAGAAAACAAAATATACAGTAGGAAAAATTTGAAAATTCATCTTGGAGAAGAAAAAATTTTTTTAGAAAGATAATGATGCTTGGATGAAAAGTAGTAACATTTCTAACAGTTCATCTTATTACTAATTTAATAAGGATGAATTTAAATTCTTAAAATTGATCCAAACTTTTTAGGCACTGAAAATTCAGTTGAATATTGTCATGCTTGATTTCTCGTGAAACTATTAATCTTACTAGTGCCCTATTGCAATTACTGTTATTACTATCTCGAAAGTTATACTAATGTAGTATAGTAGCAGCAATATCACGGAAGCATTAAAACATACATTGCAAAGATTAGAGGATGCCTGTTGAGGACTGTTGAATGATTGACAAGGTGTTGAGCGGAGATGTGACAGCCATGATAGCTTTATGCCAAAAGATTAAGTCGAAAACTATTGAAATGCTTCCATCCAAGCATCCAGTTTGAAGAAGACGCATTGCATTAGACCGCAGTGCTTATTTCTGGTATGTACTACCACTATCACCATCATCATTGTTATTATCATTATTAGCATCTATTAATTTTAATAATTCATACTTGCCGAAACGAAATCTCTACTGATTTACTCACTTAGTTGCTTAATTATACTTGTAAAATTCAAAAAGCAATGTAAGCTTGAAAGTATAAACCAATTTTAGATAGCATTCCATTGAACTTATTATTTTATTCACTATGCAATCACCTTTTCACTCATTTTTAACATTGCTTCATTCTCTTTTTTCATTTTTATTAACAAAATAATTGATGATAAATATGAAATGCACAGCAAATAAACGAACAAATAATGACGTCAAATCCATTTTTCTTTTTTCCTTTTGTAAATCATTTCAATCAATAAACAAAGTATGACATCGAATTTTGGTTAATTTGATAAGTTTTATTAAATTTAACTTTTTCTTATATCCGTAACAAGACATCATTTTTTCATTTATTTTTTTTTAGTTGTTTAATTATATTTGTAAAAAATTTTGATGTATTTTTGTTGCTTATTCTATGTTTCTATCTTATAAAAATAATTTATTCATAAAATTGAACTATAAAATAATTGGTTAGCAATGATCGAGTCCGACAATTAAAATTCCAAGCATTCAGTTATTCGAAGTTATTGAAAATAAAGTTTCACTAACAATCAGCATTTTTTACATTGATTTGATCTATTCATTAGGTTTATATTCGTTTGTCATTAGCTCCTTTCCATTAGTTATTTGTGTTAAGTACATATCACTAACAAAATGATAAATGTTAGTTTCTTAACACCACTATCATTTCACTTCATTACCATAACTTACCTAAATCTATTACACTCCAATCATCTTCCTAGAAATGCAAATTAATAAACGATCAATTAGGTGAGAAGGTGTGATAGCGGGTTGTTGAAAAGTTAGGAACGTTCGATTTATGATTTGTCTGAGTTGCTGGATGGTTGTTTACTTAGAAAGACCGCCTTTTCCCCCTAAGCCGCAGTATTTTTGATCCCTCCCAATGGACGTTCGAGAAAAACGACAGTAGTTGAAGCTTTGAAGTGAAAGATAGAGAGGAGGTGACGACGCGAATTAGCTTTTCTAAGCGAAACGCATCGCTTTGCTTCTCCCCTTTCACGACAATATCATCCTCAGCTACTTACCACCACACCGTCAACCATCCATCAGCCACCATACCATTCAATACCATCAATCAACTCGGGTTTTGTTACGGGATCGGATCCAATTTGCTTACTTAATTCATTGTCAATACAACCATCCAAACTGTACATTTCACTTTCATTTAATTTATCATTACAAACAGTCATAGTATTTGGCGAATTCCAAATCACGATTTTCTTAAAGGCATGATGGAGCAACAATATCAGTTATCCATTCAACCGTGAGTTTTTCCCGAGAAATTTCAAAGCAAATTTCAGGTGAAAAGAATATGTCACCTCTAACTGTTGTTGACATGCGATGGTATCCGATATACCCATATCGGCATTTCTAAACACATACACACACACACA